GACCGGTTTGGGCGCTTGGGGTTAGAGGCTACGGTCCCAAGCAATCATGAGATCTTCAGTATAAACCATGTCCACAGAAACCATGGCTCAGCGCGCCGCGTCCCGCGAGTCACAGAAAAAGTCTCTTCGGGCACCCTCAAGCCGGGTGCCCCGAATACCCAAGGGGTGGGGTGTTAGTGAGGCAGCGCTTTTAGAAAGAAAAGGGCCGCGGAAAGAGGCTTCTGTAACCACGCCGAGGCCGAGCCGAAAATGGCGCGAGCGTTTGAAGGCCCAGATGCAAATTCGCCCCTCTGTGTGCCCAAATGAAGATGCCGAGGGAATGCTGGGCGGCGAAAGCCCGTTTGCCTTTCCCGGCTGAGGGAGCAAAGGAAGCGGCTACTGTCGATAAACGGCCCTCAAGCGCAGGGGAAGTAGTACCAGGTCGCCCTCAGCCCCAGCACTTCTGGGGTAAGGAGGTAATCAAACCCAGGTCGATGCCCGAGCAAACCGGCTTAGAACAGAGGCCATCCGAGCACTCTTCGTACGTTCGTGGAGTTCATTCTGGGGGGGAGGAAGTGACGCCTCTGAGTTAGTGTTGGCTTTTCAAGGCCTCGGAGGGTCTCAGGAAGGAAAGGTAAAGGAGGAAGAATCAGAGGGAGTTCACACGCGAGGCTCAACGCGGTTACTGAATCTGGCCCATAAAGTTTCACACTCCGTAGGAAGGCTGTCCAGCGTTACAGCCAACCAAACTTGGCAAATGGGGCAGAGGCGGCGGCGAGGTCCGGAGCTGCTGCGGCTGAGCGCGCCGTGTCGAGGCCGGCTAACCATCAGTGCTAATAAATCCCCCGTTCGGAGATCGCGAGGCTCCCCTGCGAAGAGCCGGCGAGCCTAGCGACGGCCCCACTTCGGCTCTCGGTTGAGAAGTGACCTTCCGCACCACTTAGAGGGCCGCTCCGGAATCTTAGGGAGAGCGGGGTTACTGTTCTCCCTTTTACTGGGCCCGAAGGCCTGGCTACCGCGGGGGCGCTGGGAGGCCGGGCTCAGTAGGCCCGTGAGAGGCGGGAAAAGGAGGTGGCTGGCCCCGCTGCCAAGCCGGGAGCAGCTCGAAGGGTCTGCCCAGGTGGCGACCCTGGATTCCCTTCTGCCTGCTCCAGCTCACTCGGCCCTTCTCCGCGGTCTCGGGCTCCAGCGAAAGTGAATCGGAGACCCAGAGAAGCTGCGCGAATGAAGCGCGTGGCGGAGGCGAGCCGCGCTCCTGTCTGCCCGCCGTTTCTTCCACCCGTTTTCTCCAAAGGCAAAGGAGGGGAGGCACCCTGGTCCCTGCCGGACCCAGCATTGCCAATTCCCGAATGATCAATTCCCTGCACCATCATCATCATCATCATCGTCAATTAAATTAAATGTATCTGCCGCCCGACGCCCAGCGACTCAGAGCCTGCAACTTCCCCAGACCCATGAAGACTGGGGAGAATGGGCAGTGTAGTTTCTCGGCTGGAGGGTGTGGGGCCTGGAAGGGAGTTTTCCCGAGTGCCTTTTCCCGAGGTTCCTGCAAGTCAGATCCCAGGCGAAGCCCGCGGATTTCATGGCGGCTGACTCCGAGGGCTCGGATTTCCAGAGTGTTTTCTCCAGAGCCAAGATGTCCAGCCTGCAGGGAGTGGGAGTGGGCTGGATCCCCCTCGCCGCGGCCTTTTTGAGGTATCTGCTGCGGAGTCTCCAGGTCCCGCTGCAAAGGCGCTGTCGGTTTTTTGGTACTGTGGGATCTTCAGGGAAACAGGCTGCCCTGGAAATAACAGCTGGGGAAAATCCTCGCTCCACACTTCGGCCGAAATCTCGGGTGAAGGAACATTCTAGAAGCCAACGAAGGATAAAACGGGCGAATGTTATTATAGTATTGCTGCTGTTGTTGTTATATAATTTTATGTAATATATTAACTAATAATACAATATTATTACTGCCCTCCTATGCTAGTATTTCGTTTACTAATAAAGTAAATGCTAGTCCTGTTATGCTCTGCTAATGCTATTTGCAATGTACTTGCGCCTCGTTATGCCTTTGCTTCGATGCCTGTTTTTGGTTAAGCCATCCTGGTTCCAGGCCCAATATCTGGCAAAGTCCAGGAGGCCAGGCGGAATCTGAGCCACTGACGTTTGGCCAGGGCTGCCCCGGTGGCGTTTCCCCTCAGAACCCGCTGGCCGAGCTCTCAAAATCCTCCCTCCGGCTTTAGCCTTCCGTTTCCGGAGTTTTTCTTCACCTTTGCTCGATTTTTGAGTTTGCCCTTTCCTCCACCTGCTCTGCGTGTATATTGGATTGTTTGCGTTCTGAACTTGCTTTTCTTCGTGCAGACGTTACGTTGCCAGACTAGGGAACATCATCAGTACTCCCACCTGGGAAGTGGGGTTGGTGGCTGTTCATATGTAGCAGCTTGTCCTTGGAGCAGGATATTCTCTTATGTGTGCGTGTGTGTAGTGTGCGTGTATGTATGTATACTTTTTATTCGATTTATAAGGCCGTCTAATCAGAATGCGTGCGTGATTACATACACGTCGGTCTCACTAACTTACAGAATCCGAGGAGAGGGACCCCCACCTTAGTTCGGCTCAAGTAATTGGCAGGCTGTAGTCTCAGAAGAAAACGGTGTTCTGTGCGTGCATCTGTGGCTCCAAGAAAGGGGCCCTTCGCTCGGAAAAGACGCACGGCGCACAAAGAAAATGGAAGGCCGTGGCGGGAAAGAAAGGAGCTGCAAATCACGCGAACTGTCCTCCAATCCCCGTCGGAACTCGACCCGAAAAATGGGCGTTAGCAATCAGGGCCCTAGTGACATTACCAGCCAGTGGAGAATTACAAGCACTCGTTTATCACCGTTTAGAAATAGGGGAGAAGAGACATCCCGTTTGTGTCCCACATCATTCGTCAGTGACAATTCTCATGGTCGATCAACCGTCTTTGCAAGCCTCTGTTCGGGTTTCAGAAAGTTGCGGGAAAAATCGTCGGTCGCTTGCTGGCTTGATCGAAAATCGAAAGAAAACGCCAAGTCTCTCGAAAACCAGTTTGCCTCTCTCCATTTTCGGCGGTTCTACTTTTCGACTTCATGGTCTTCTACGGAGCCCTTGCTTAATTCTGGCCCAGCTTCGGGAGTCGGTCTTCGAGGAGGGCTGCCATCGGTTGAGATGGGTCCGCGCCCCCGCCTGCCTCACAGGACCAGCTTCTGGTCTACCTCGGAAGATTTATTTACCCCCCGATTATTTTTTTTTGCAGATGCACGCAAGGGAGTTTTTTGGCCGAATTCGGCCAGACTGGCGGAGCAGTGGGGAGGAGGCTAAAAACCTCGTGAAAGCGGGCGGGGACTGGCGCTCCCAGGGGCTCTGGGTCGCAAGGGAGCCCCCGAAGCTGCTCTATGCCCGCTCCACTTTGCCCAGCGCCAACAGCAACTGCGCCTCACTTCGCGTTTGCAGGCCCAGCAAAGAGGATGAATGTAAATGTACTCCATCGCCTTGCGCGGCCCTGATCCCAATCGCTTGTTTGTCTCAGATGGCGGAGAAGTTATTTTTTTCGCCTTTCTGAGCCCTGTGGAGAAACACAGGCGAATACGATGCAGCAGCAGCGTTCCCACGAAATTTGGGCCCGGGGGTGGGGGAGGGGGTGGCTTGGCAAATACCTGGTTGGAGAAGCCACTTTTCGGCATCTTTCTTCTATGTCTACGCGCACACGGTGTGTGCAGCTCCAGCCTTCGTTGTTTTGCTCCGGGACGGGGCTTCTGGGTTCCTTAGAGCCGGCCTGAGTGCTTCCCATCAGTGACAGCACAGCCTGTCGCAGCTTCTCAGGGACAGGAGGCTTTTAACGTTTGATTCGAAAAGTATGTTTGTGTTTCCATTTTCGCATGTGTGTGTGTGTGTGTGTGTGAGCGCGCACCCTGCCCTTTTAGTGCTTATGCGCCGCGCCGCACGACCGACAATTAAAACGTGATCAAATTAAAAAGGGACCGGAGAAAGGAATTGCCTTCATCTCATTCTCTCTCCCACACAATCCCCTGATCAGATCCTACTACTTAAAAACCCTACGCGATTTGCCTGGGGGCGCTCTGCCTCTGTTTCCCGTCCCACCCAGAATTTCCCTGGGAAGTTCTCTGGGAAAGGGGGGCGCTTCCGACGCACAGAAATCTGGGGAATCCAAACTCTCTGCTGATTATTATTATTAAGATATTATTATTATTATTATTATTATTATTATTATTATTATTGAAAGAAGGGTGTTAGGTTTGATTTCTAAATCTTTTTTCGGGTTAGGTGGGAGGAAAAGATAGCATCGGAGGGAGGGTCGAAAGCTGAAAAAGGGCGGTGGCGAACGACCGTGTCGATTTCGCCTTTACCGGCCTTTGGGGAAGTGGGGAGAAAAGCGGGTATGTCTCAGCAGCCGCGACTTTTGCGTCCCTCGAGTTGCCCCTGCAGCGGAGAGGCCTTGGTCACTTTTCCAGTTTTATTGGCCCGGGATGAAGCGCCCACTATTTCGAAAAGGAAAAACGGCTTTCGCACAGAATGGCTAACTGAACCTGGATTTATTAGACTTCATTTGGTCGTCCAGCTTGGTTTATTCAATGGCCTGCTTTCGCACGACACGCTGATTCATAAACTAACCCTCCGGGCTGGGCTGATACAATTTCAGTCGAAGCCAACAGACCATTCCTGGCCAGTTTCTCTATGGTTAACTCAGCCACGGTTTAATCAACCTCGTCCTGAACTGTAACCTCTCACATAGGCCGGATTGGCAGGAAAGATAAATCCGGGCTGCCTGGTGCGAATCGTGCGAAAACGATCCAGCCATCCCCACCACCACCAGGCGGAGCTCCTGGTGGATTTACTACGGGCGCCCCTGCCGTTATACCCCCTTCTCTGGGAGCCCGTCCCATTGACCCAACGAAGAGTCGCCCACCCGCTCCCGCCCGCCTCGGTGGCCTTTTCTCCCCGCGCCTTGGGGACGGCTGGTAACACTCTCGCAGTAAAAATGCCGCGTCCCCGGCTTGCGGAGGGGTTTTCCTCTCCC